AGATTTTCTAAATCTCGCACATTACTAAAGAATATATACAGTACTGCTATATTATTTTGTGACAAAATACTTTACTGTGTGATATACTTTATTATATATACTAGTCTTAGGATACGCGCGTTGCGCATTAACTTTGACTCAAGAAATACAAAGTTTTTAAAAGTCACATAATATTATTTTAAAATTGTATATGAGTTATATAATAAAAGTTAACAAAAAAATTGCAAAATTATAAAACTGATCATTGTTGATTTTATTTAACTAATTCAATGAAGGAATAAGCTATGCCTTGTAGAAGTCCTCAGAATCCTAAATTTTAATTATTAATTGTAATTATGATTTATCCGACATGAAAAGCATATAAAGTATTGTTTGGTTATATATTAAAAGTCTGTTGTGCTCTTTCAACTCCCAGACCAATTGTTGTCGAACTGAATGTTCTCGACCTCTAGAAGAAATTGTCAATAAATAAACCTTCCACAAGAAACATTAAATGCTTTTTCCGTAAGTTGCAAAAGAATATCAACGGTAATTTATGTAGAAGATTAAACATATGTGCGACATGAACAGGTTTTGTTTAATAGTGAATTTTATGATTTTATTTTTACTTAGATAATAGTGAAGTTTGTAGAAAAAAGAAACAAGTATAATTTTTTTATAAAAATAGAAAGAAATAAAGATTGCCTACTTTTTAGCATTAGAAATATTTTAAAACTTTGAATTAAACAACTCAAATATTTATATTAATAAATAATATTTTTCACGACGAGATCCAAGATAATATTTTAAAACATATGCTTAACATCTTATTAACTTAAATTAATGCTTATCAATATAAAAATAATATTAATATATGGCATTAAATGCTTTATGTCTTCTACGAATACTACATTATGAAAAAAAACAAAACTCCTCTTTTTCCATGTGTGTATCTATCTATGAATAACTTTTATTAAAAATATGTAAGGCCTCAATTAAAATTTGGCTTTACGCCACTAATTTTATTGAGATGCCCTTACAGTTAACAATCTCATGCTTGGAGAGCTCAAGTGCAAAAACCGAAATATTAGGAGTCTCCAACGTCACTAAAGCACCAAATATTGCGCTAAGGTTGAACACAATGAATGAGTTTGTTACATAAAAAAGCACAAAATAAGAAATCCGGTATCTATTTTCTAAGATTTGAATGAGATACTTTTTTTTTATTTTTTATGAAGAATGTTAAAAGAAGACACGGGAATATGGTGGAGTGCAGAAGTTCTAGTACTACAATTACTAAACTTAAGGAATTTAAGGATGCGCTCAGTTTGATATGCAATATTAAATACAAGGATGGGGTACCAAGGAATAAGGATAAGGTTTTAAAATCAGAAAAACTAGATACATACTTAGGTCTAATTGATCAACTACCGAGGTCATGACCCTTATACCTCGAAAGAATAATCATGATCAAGTGAGCAAAAGAAAAAAAATAATATATTTGTATCAAATTAAAAATTTAAACTTAAATTTGAAATTTCAGACTTACCTAAAGAGAAATGATTTGCCCATAGTCCCCAACTCTTGGATCATACATATCACCTATTTTCATAGCTATTTAAGCATCCCATAATAATATCAAAAAATGCACCGAAAGGAAATTGGTAGTTCAATCAATAGTAATATTTTCCTTCTCATAAGTATTGCATTTTGTATGCCACCATTTGATTACAATTAGGTTGAATAAATTATTTAACTTGTGCTACATTATAAATAGTTAATTGTACTTGTTGAAGAAATTAATTCTTGAGACTTGTGAAATTTGAAGAGTAAAAAGGTCAACACATCTAATTTTCCGCCCGACTCTGACATCAAATAAGAAATTTAAAAAATGACCACTAGCAAAGGCTATAGTCTTAATAAATGTTATAAAACCTTAAAATTAATCTTTGATGCACTACAACTACACAATATTCAAAATATATTTACAATCCCACAATTAAAAATGAGCAAATTTCATTTGTAACCGGCCGGTGAAAACTATTATCACTCGCTAGCCATGAATTGATCCATACAATTTATAGCCTCAAACAAATTATAATGGCTAGCCTAAATTGGTCTTCTCCGTATACCATGTAAAGCCTAAATCGTTCATCCACCTTCTCATTAAAGTTGCCGCATGTTCCTTAGGATGCTATTGGTTTAATCCAGATTAACTTCATCATCCATCTAATTTTCTTATTTTCTCTTTTTTGAACAAACATCTCCTGCTGGTTCTCATTAAACAATTGTAAAGCATAAATCGTTTATCCACTAGTAGAAAACATGTGACGTGGCCATGATTAATTTTTGTCCTAACCTCATCATGTTTGGTTTTTGCTTATGTGCACGCTAAAACTAATAAGAAGCAAGTTTAAGAGCTGGAAATATTATGTGTTCTTCACTTTGAATGAGGGCTTTATATACGCAAAGTACTTGTAATTAATTGATTTCCTTGATGCTACCTACGATGTTTCTGTCTTTTTTGAGTTGATGGTTAAGGACTCAAAACCTCATGTATTGTAGACCAGAATAACAAGGGAAATACTTTATACTCTCTGCATTTTATTTAACTATTTTAACACAAAATTTAATAATGAAAGAAGTATATTCAAAACTTGTAGTCTTAAATATGCCATGTTTTGTTTTTGGATAATAGCGTTGGGGATACATTAAGGAAACATTGTAAAATACACGATACACTTTTTTATACAAAATTTATACATCGTAGAACAATCTATACACTTTGGATACACAAAAGCGCTCGAGATACATTAATGATATATTATGGATACATTGCAAGATGCACGATACACTCTATATACAAATTTTGTGCAATGTATATACTAAATAGATTGCCACTATACAAAAAATATACAAAAATAGACTGTCACTATACAATTTATATATAATAGACTGTCACTATACAAAATATATATATAATAGACTGTCACTATATAAAATATATACTAAATAGACTGTCACTATACCAAAAATATACAAAATGGACTATTGCTATTAAAAATATATATAAAATAGACTGCCACTATATAAAATATATACTAAATACACTATCACTATATAAAAAATATACAAAATGGACTGTCACTATATAAAAAATATATAAAATATATTGTCACTATACAAAATATATATAAAATAAATTGTCACTATATAAAAAATATACAAAATAGACATTTCAGACTATTAGATGCAATAAGTTTGGGCCGAAGGGCCATTTCGTGTCAGTAGAAAAAAATATGAGTTATTAAAATTTTGAGGGGATATAAATGGTTGTTTTCTCATTAAAAATCAAAGTCGAGAAAGGGCAACTTCCGAACTATAAATTTGTAGGTGCATAATGCCATTACACTGAGCACTACATTGTTGTTACTGAAAAATTCAATTTTGTCCCCTCTCCCCTCATTTAACTAATTTCCTCAAACTTCTGAGTTACTAATAGATCAAATACCTTATTTCCACTATTATGTCATTACTATTACTATTACTCTTACTATTACTATTACTATTATTAATATTATTTCTACTATTACTATTATTATTATTATTATTATTGCTATTATTATGTGTTTGGAAGGTAATGTATTTGATCCAATTTATAAGCCCAAAAAATAGGAAGACGAAGGAATAATGAAGTCCAAAGTATTTCAGCTAGTTGAGGCCCAAATGGTCTTCCTGAAAATACCACTTAGCTGCATTGGGGGAGAAATTAAAAAATAGCCAGATTTATAAGTGGTCATTCAAAAATAGCCACACTTTCAAAAGTAATCGTAATTTAGCCACTTTTCATGTAAAGATAAATCTGAACAAAAACACTGTTCAAAATCCGAAAAATACTCCTGCATATTATATTGGAGTTCGAGCATAAGTATACTAGCAAAGTATATCGGTCCAGTATAATATGCTGGAAGTTCATACACAGGTGCTCGAATCTCCAGTATATTATGCTGGAACTTTCCGCGTGTTGAAGTTCCAGCATAATATGCTGAAATTTCATACACAGGTGCACCGAACTCCAGTATACTATGTTGGACCGGTCTCTCTTTGCAGCAAAATAGTGGTTATTTTTCAATGACTTGACAAACGGTGGCTATTTTTGAATGACCAGTCCGAAAACTGGTTAGCCCGTGCTATTTTACGCTGCATTGCCCTAACAGCCCAAACACTGAGCCCGATCCGCTAAGCCTCTTCAATTTCTCGGATTTTTTCCACTTTTAGCCCGNTATATATATATATATATAGCTATTATTTTGAGAGCGGTTATACAGTGTCATTTTTCCTTTAATTTCTCCTTCCTCTTTCACGTGTCCTCATCCAAGCCAAGACCCTCTTCAATCCCGACCTTAATCCTTTTATAATCCAACGGCTCACACCTATATGAATATAATTCCATTTTATAGACTAATTTGTCTAACTTACATATTCAAAGGATGTTGTTTCTTTCTCGTACAACAACAACAACAACAACAACAATAACAATCCAGTATAATTTCACTAGTGGGTCTGGGGAGGGTAGTGTGTACGCAAATCTTATCCCTACCCTGATCCCTACCCTGGGGTAGAGAGGCTGTTTCCGATAGACCCTCGGTTCCCTCCCTCTAAGAACTCCCCACCTTTCTCTTGGGATGACTCGAACTCACAAGCTCTTGTTTCTTTCTCGTGTTTATGCATTTTTCGTACACGCAAATCTCAATGGTCAGACCAAAATCTCAGCATTTCGGGGAAGAGAGAAGGAAAATGTCGCAGGCAAATCTGTTGAAGAGGACGAAATCACGTGATATTTGATTGGAAAAGATTCAGAACTTTTGAAAGGAGAAAATCCTAATTTTTTAACCTCATTTTTCTCCTATAAATACCAGTTTCTCATAAGGAAATTTACTCACTACTTACTGCTATCATCTCCCTTAAAGTAGGGTTGGGTATATATCGGGTAAAATCAATAGCCCGAACCGAAAAAAGCTTATTGGGTTATCGGTATCGAGTTATTGGATTAACGGTTCGGCAACGGTTTATAAAATTTTCACTATTGGATTATCGGTTCGGGCCTCGGTTTGCCAATTTATTAATGGGTTAACCGATAACCCAATAAGAATTAATAAAATTATGACTTTACCCTTAAGTATATACATACGTCTAGGGCTTCATTCTCTCATATTCCCTCTTAGCCGCACTCTTCGGTTCACTATCTCAAAGTTTTCATCTTCAGAGACCTTACTCCTAGCGTAAGTCTTATATAATAGGCTTCTATAACAAAATTCATCTTCATCTAGGGATTTTTGATTGTTAAAGATTCTTTATTTTGTGTTCATATTTTATGATTTTTATTTTCGTTTCTTAATTTTGTGAAGTCATGTTGTGCAGCATATACCTACTACCAGTTTCTCTTCGCACTTATCAATTCTCAATCGACAATCTTCATCAGTTTCGGGTATGTTTTTTATCCTCTTCAATCTTCATCACTTTAAATTTTTTATTTTTTCTCATTATTTTTTGGGTTCACTGTTTTTGGGTTTCTTAACTCAATTTTTAGGCTGTTTTGTATTTAATTCGAGATAAGTACAAAAAATTTGAGAAAATTCTTGTTTATTAGTGTTCGAAGTTCTAAATTTAATTCTTTTTATATATAAGCATTTGGGTGTTTATTAACATCTTTTAGAATTTGGACATGCATTCTTTTACTGTTGATTCTTCTATTTTATTTTTTAAGATTTTGTTGGCTCGCTGCTTGATTTCTTTTAAATTCAAACTCACAGTGACACAAACGCATGACTGAAAATATCATAATTGATAAGATGATTGATGAAAGTAGAGCTTCTAATTCAAATACGACGACACAATCTCAATCAGTTCAGTCGACGGTATGGAAGAAAAGAAAAAGAGGTCTCGTGCATGGGATCATTTTGACCAAATTATTGATTCTGAAGGAAATAATAAGGGTGTTTGTAAATATTGCAAAAGAGAATATTTTGCTGACACAAAAGATAATGGTACGAAAGCACTGCTTACTCATATGGATAATTGTACGAAAGTACTGAACTTGTTGTTGACATTCCATTGCAATATGTGGAGGTAATGAATGGAATTTTGCTGCTACTAATTGTTATCAATATATCATTATCATATGTTTTTGGTTAATTCAAGTTAGTGTCGCGCTTATCATATGGTTGTGGTTGTTTGTTGTTTGTTGTTCCACTCCTAATTAGCAAACTACATTTTGACATCTTATATCTAAAGGACAAAGACAGTAAGAAAATCTTCATCAGCTGCGAGCTTCAGAAGAAGTTTTGATCTAATTAGCTACATTTTGACATCTTATGTCTAAAGGATTAAAACAGTAAGAAAATCTTCAGTTGCGACTTGCGAGCTTCTGAAGAAGTTTTGATCTAGATTGAGTTATTTTATCGGGTAAACTGATAACCGAACTAATAACGGTTGATAATCGATTAACCGATAATCGATAACCGATTTTTTATCGGTTCGGTTATCGATTTTGCATATTGATAAACCGATAACCGATATGTAAAACCGATAATATTCATAACCAAACTGAACCGGACGATACTCACCCCTACCTTAAAGTCCCTCAAAATTTAAATTATTTTCTTTCAAAGGCCGAATAGATGCTCTTCTTTTGTTTAACTTGTTCTAGGCAAATCTACTCAGAAAATTGATAATATGCTAGAATTACATGTAATTGGATATATTTTACCCCTACTTTGATATTTTTTTAGTGTTTTGAATGTTGAAAGATGAACAATCAGCTTAATTATTGAAGTTTGTTATGTAGGAAGCCAAGAGTGAAGAATAGAGGCGATTTGAGCAATAATGAAGCTAAAAGGCAATTTTTCAAGAAAAGAAAAATTGGACCAGGCAGTGAAGTAACTTCAAAAATTACAGGAAAAGCCCAGAAAAATTTGAAAAACACAACCAGGCCCTGTGCGAAGCACATCTATAGCACAAGGGCAAATTTGCCTGCGTTTTATCTTGAGGGGCAACTTAGTCAATTGGCTTAGGGACGTGATATAAAAGCTTTCAACCCTAATTGAAGCCACACACTTGACCCGAGAAGGCAAGAAACACCATTATTGAAGCAAAGTTGAGCCCGAAAGATCCTCAAGTTTATTCAAGAAGACGAATCGAAGAGTTTCTCTCTACTTTTCTATCTTTATTTCTATGAATATTGGTTTGACAATGGTTTATGTATTTTTGAGTAGTGTTATAAGTAGCTAAACTCTATTATCTAAGGTGTGATGGAACCTATTGGAAGATGATTTTCTATTGCGTTTAATATAGATTTACCTTTGATTTTTCTCTACTTGTTCAACTATATTTTCATTATTGTTAATTGAAGAGCTCTCAATTAACTGGGCCTATTTAGTGTGTATATTGCTTGAGAGAGTGTACCTATTTAGGTAGTTGTTGAACAACAACACGCCTAACGTAGTTGAGAGATCAATGCTAGGTGGGACTAGAGATAACGAAACCTTGGTGTGATCGTAGTGAGCTGTAAATTAGTGTCAGCTAGCGTAATTCGAGAGAATACGTCTAGTAAATTATGATAGTTGCTTGAGAGAGATCTACGGCAATCAAAGTACTCATGATTGGTAGAGAATAGTTAGGCAAATTCATAGAAAACATAGTGGGAAAGATTTTGACAATAGAAAAAATCATAACCTTAGACTCTTTCAAATCTTGTCTACAATATTTGCTTTGTTCATTATAAATTACTGCATTTTTAATTACTTTGATTTTAGTTAGTAAACTCTTAAATTGTTACATAATATTTCTGAAGGTTTATTACTTGAATTCGTGCAAAATTATTGGTTGTAATTAGCACTTTATTTCCTTGTGGGATTTAACTCCGGACTTGTAAACCGGATTATATTTGCAACGACCGCTTAGTCCTCTTAGGAAGCATAGTTGAGCGTGATCAGAAATCATAATCTCCTTTTCTTCATTATATTTTTTGGAAGAGTTTGCATACGAAAGAGAATATAATGTAATTGTATATAGATATGTATATTCTTCCTCGTTTGTAAAACTCTTCAAAATATGTAGTAAATTACACAATGCGCAATTGGTCTCTCCACCACGGATACAACGGATTATGAGGTAATAAACTATCTCTTGCGCTTTTTGTGAAGATTAATCATTTTTTCTCGTTGCTAAATATGAATATTAGCCATGAGATACTATAGATTATTGTTAACTAATCTTCTTTCTTATTGTTAATCCAAAAGAAGAATTAACCCAAATAGCTACTCACCCTAGCACTTAAACAAAAAATTATCGGTGAATATATAATATATGCATAATTTATGTATTGCATATGTATAATTGTATATAATCAATATATAATCTATGTATTTGACTAAAAAAAAGTAAACAATTAATATGGCCGGCTATATGTGTAAAAAAAACCCAATCCAAAAATATAAAATATAACAATAGACCTACTATATTAAATGGTTGACATGTATTTGCAAGAGACTTTAGGGTTTGTTGGAGCTTCTAAGTGTAACAAATCGAAGCTGAAAATAGATTCAGATAACTTGCCAAGGAATTGCATTCTCGGAAGAGAAAAAAAGCCAATATTTCTAAATTTCCGCGTGACTCTAACAAAGAAATAATTTTTTTAAAGTATGAAATTGTTACGACCCAAAACCTAACCCGTCATGATGGCGCCTATCGTAATACTAGGCAAGCCGACCCTTCCAAAATACTTTCAAAATTTAACAGAAATGAATTAAGATATTTAAAATAACCAGAGTTTTTTTCCCCATAAATACGGGGGTAAAACCCAAATAAAATATAAGTGCGGAAAAATAGCCTGACATCGGGGGGTCACTAAGCCATGAGCATTTAACAACCAATCTAGAAGATGGAGTCTACTACAGTCTATGCCAAATGCCAATACAAGAGAGAAAAGATAATAAGAAAGGAGAAACAAGGACTGCGGACGCCGGCAGCTACCTCGTAAGTCTCCGATAATCAGCCCGCGCACGAACTCAGTGACCGCCATAACCGTACACACCTGGATCTACACATGAAGGGTATAGCATGAGTACAACAAACTCAGCAAGTAACAGAATTAAATAAGGAACTGAGAAGCAGTGACGAACTATAATAATACAAATCATTTCAAAAGTTTATAGTAAAGAGCGAACATGCTTTCAAATCCGGTGGTATAAGCCAAATCAGTTCGAACTCAAGTAAAACAGATATGAATCTTCCAGAAATTTCACATCAACAACAGATAACAACTACGTGCAACATTAAATAAAAACAAGTACAGCCTCTCAAGGCAACAATCGCTCGNCACAGAATATCATAATAATTAGCCCAAACAGAGAATACAATAAGTATCAACAAGAAATGAGAGGAAATGGAGATATAACACACAAGTAAGACTGTGACTGAGTACAAGACAGCAATTAACGGTCAATTCAACAAGTATTCGACCGTTGCGTGTCCCAGCATGGGTTCTAATGTGAAAGGCAGTCAATTGCTCAAAGACAAGGAAGAATAAGTAATAACAATGGCTATTCAACTTTACAGTATCACGGAATGGACCAAGTCACAATCCCTCACAGTGCACGCTCACACGCCCGTCACCTAGCATGTGTGTCACCTCTAAATATTCACATCATACAAATTCTCAAGGTTTCATACCCTCAAAACTAGATTTAAGATTGTTACTTACCTCAACTGCGCAAAAATCCCACTCAGAAATGCCCTTGCCTCTCGAATCGGTCTCCAAATGCCCCGAATCTAGCCACAAACAGTACGAGATAATCAATATTGGCTAAAAGGATCAATTTTACAAAACAGCTACTAAAATATAGTCCAAAATCTGAAATCGTCTCAACCTGGATCCCCGGGCCCACGTCTTGAAACCCGATGAAAGTCACAAAACCCGAAAGCCCATTCACTCACGAGTCTAACCATACCACATTTATCAAAATTCGGCCTCAATTGCCCCTCCAAAACCCCAAAATTCACTCTCCAGCTCCCAAGCCCTAATCTCCCAATCTCACCTCAAACACTCACCAAGTAGGTGTAAAATCAGTAGGGAAACACCATTATTGAAGATAAATAGGCACAAAGAACTTACCTCAGTGATTACTCCAAAATCTCTCTCAAAATCCCCAAAATTCGAGCTCAAAAATATGAAAATGGTATAAAATCTCGAAGTGTTCTATTTATAGGTTCTGTCCAGACTTCTCGCACCTGCGGCTCCATTTCCGCATCTGCGAAGCCGCATCTGCAGAAAAATACCTAAACTCAGCCTCCGCTCCTGTGATCCAGTGACCGCATCTGCGGTATTCGCGGGTGCGGGAAGTACATCGCACCTGCGGTCCAAACTCGAACTTGGGCCCCCAAATCCGCTTCTGCGACCATCGCAGGTGCGGGAATGCCATCGCACGTGCATCCTCTGACCAGGCCCTCCTTAGCTGCATCTGCGGCTCCTCCTTCGCTTCTGCGGGCTCGCACCTGCGGTTCCCACTCCGCAGGTGCGGTTACACCAGTAGCAGTAGCTTCAGCTATAATTCCTCAACTCACATCAAGCCGCCAACCACCCGAAATCACCCTGAGGCCTCTGGGACCTCAACCGATCATACGAACAAGTCATATAACCCCATGCGAACTTAGTCGAACCTTCGAATCACTCAGGACAACATCAAAACACCAATTACACCCGGATTCAAGCCTAAAGAACTTCTAAACTTTCAAATTCCACAAACGACGACGAAACCTACCAAACCACGTCCGATTGACCTCAAATTTTACACACAAGTCACAAATGACACCACAAACCTATTCCAACTTCAAGAAATCCAATCCGACCCCGATATCAAAATTTCCACTACCGGCCAAAATCGCCAAAATTTTAATTTTCGCCAATTCAAGCCTAATTCTACCACGGACCTCCAAATCATGTTCCAGATGCGCTCCTAAGTCCAAAATTACCTAACTGAGTAAACGGAACCATAAAAATTCAAATCCGAGGTCATTTTCCCACAAGTCGACGTCCGGTCGACTTTTCCAACTTAAGCTTCGAATAAAGAGACTAAGTGTCTCAATTCACTCCAAAACCACTCTGAACCCGAACCAACCAACCCGGTAAGACATAATACATCTGTAAAGTACAAAAGAAGCAGAAATGGGGGAAACTGGCTATAACTCTCGAAACGACCGGCCGGGTCGTTACATCCTCCTCCTCTTAAACAAACGTTCGTCCTCGAACAGGTCTAGAAATATACTTGGAGTCTCAAATAGGTGTGGATATCTGCTCTGTATCTCTCGCTTGGTCTCCCAAGTGGCCTCCTTCACAGACTGACCTCTCCACTGCACCTTCACTGAAGCTATATCCTTTGACCTCAACTTCCGAACCCGCCGCTCCAAAATGGCCACCTGCTCCATATCATAAGTTATATCACCATCCAACTGAACCGTGCTGTAATCCAAAACATGGGACGGATCGCCGATGTACTTCCGGAGCATAGAAACATGAAATACTGGATGCACACTCGACAAGCAAGGTGGCAAGGCAAGCTTGTAAGCCACCTCCTCGATCCTCTGAAGTACCTCAAAAAGCCTAATGAACAGAGGGCTCAACTTGTCCCTCTTCCCAAACCTCATAACACCCTTCATGGGTGATACCTTCAGCAGAACTTTCTCCCCGACCATGAAAGACACATCACGGACCTTCCTATCAGCATAACTCTTCTGCCTAGATTGTGCCGTGCGAAGCAGCTCCTGAATCAATTTCACCTTGTCTAATGTATCCTAGACCAAGTCTGTAGCCAAGAGCCTAGCCTCACCCTGCTCAAACCATCCCACCGGAGATCTACACCGCCTCCCATATAAAGCCTCGTACGGAGCCATATGAATGCTCGATTAATAGTTGTTGTTATATGCCAACTTCGTGAGCGGCAGAAACTGGTCCTATGAACCCCCAAAATCAATGACACAAGCGCATAACATGTCCTCCAATATCTGGATAGTGCGCTCGGACTGTATGTCCGTTTGAGGGTGAAAGGTTGTGCTCAACTCAACCTGAGAACCCAACTCTCGCTGCACGACCCTCCAAAACTGCGATGTAAACTATGTGCCTCTATCTGAAATGATGGAAACTGGGACACCATGCAGGCGAACAATCTCTCGGATGTGAATCTCAGCCAACCGCTCTGAAGAGTAAGTAGTACCAACTGCAACGAAATGCTCGGACTTGGTCAGCCGATCCACAATCACCCAAATAGCATCGAACTTCCTCGAAGTCCGTGATCCCAACTACAAAATCCGTGGTGATCC